CCCCAAAACCCCAAAACCCCAAAACCCCGTGCTTAACTGATATCAATGATTTAATAGAAATAAAAATAGAATCCATAATTATCGTGGTCAAGTCTTAGTAAATGCTTACCTAACATTGATAAATTTATTATTTATCAAGAACAAACAAAGATTTATCCTCATGGACAAGAAATTAGATTACGCATTGTAAGAAATCCTAAGAATTTTATTTATTCTTTAGCGAATTCTCAGAATACTAGAAGCATAGACAAGCTTTTGTACCAGGCTGCCCCGACTCTCTTTCTGATGCAGAAAATAACAAAGTTTCCTTGACAAGATCATCGTATCCTGTAATGGAAGGTCTAAAGGATCTCTTCCCAACCCTTCTTGAAAAAGAAATGCCTTACCTCTAACTTAAGTTCGATTAAGAAGGTGGTGAGCTTCTCAGATCTGAAAATCCTCTTAAAGTAAACTCTTTAACACTAAAATTTTATAGGTCGCAGTGGTCTTGAGTGGAGGTCAAGCTGCTGGAGGTCACAATGTGATCATGGGAGTCTTCGATATGATCAGAAAGATTCATCCAAATTCTAGATTATTTGGTTTCTTAATGGGTCCACATGGAGTTTATTCAAATAAATACATTGAGATTAATTAAGAATACATGCAACTCTACAGAAATATGGGAGGATTCGATATGATATGTAAGTGGATGACGATATTGCTTTCAAAATTTATTTCCATTTTAACAATCTCCTCATTCAAATCTAGGTAGTGGAAGACACAAGATTGAGACACCTCAATAATTTGAAGCATCTCTTAAGAACTGCACAGACTTAGATTTAGATGGTCTTGTAGTTATTGGTGGAGATGATTCAAACACTAATGCTTGTCTTTTAGCTGAGTATTTCTTAAAGCATAATGCTAAAACTAAGGTAATTGGCTGTCCTAAGACCATTGACGGTGATCTAAAAAATGAACACATCGAGGTCAGTTTTGGTTTTGACACTGCCACTAGAACATACTCTGAAGCAATTGGAAATCTCTGTGTTGATGCGATGTCTGGTAAAGGTTACTACTACTTTGTAAGATTAATGGGAAGATCTGCATCTCATATTGCTCTTGAATGCGCCTTGTAAACAAGGGCAAATTGGGTCCTTATAGGTGAAGAAGTTGAGTAGCAGAAATAAACTCTTTCTTAAATTACAAAGCAACTTGCGGACTTAATTTGCAAGAGAAGTGAGTTAAATAAGGATTATGGTGTCATCTTGGTCCCAGAAGGACTTATTGAATTCATACCTGAGGTTAAAAAGCTCATTTCAGAGATTAATGAAATATTATCAAAGCCATTCCATTAAGATATTAGAGATTATGTCTCTCACCATTTGAGCTGGGAGTCAAGAGCATTATTCACATTCCTTCCAAAAGCAATCTCAGATTAACTTCTTTTGGATAGAGATCCTCATGGTAATGTCCAAGTATCTAAGATTGATACAGAGCGTCTCCTAATTCTCTTACTTAGAGATGAACTTGAAACAAGAACTCAAGATGGCCTTTACAAAGGATAGTTCTTCCCTTAAAGTCACTTCTTTGGATATGAGGGTAGATGTGCTATTCCAAGTAACTTTGATGCCTAATATTGCTATGCACTTGGTCTTAACGCTGCAGTTCTTATTAGAGAAGGTGCCACTGGATACATGTCATGCGTGAAAAATCTTTATGACAGAAACCCTAAGAATTGGATCGCAGCAGGATGTCCTCTTCCAACTATGATGCATTTAGAGAGAAGAAAGGGCAAGGATGTGCCAGTTATTAAGAAGGCTCTTGTTGATTTAGAAGGACCAAACTATCTTTCATATGTTGCTGTCAGAGAAAAATGGGCTTACCTAGACTGTTTTAGATCTCCAGGTCCAATTTAATTCGCAGGACCATCCTCGGATATTGTTTGTTTCTTGGTTAAACCACCAGTTTTGGCTGAATTAGTTGCTGAGACTGATGAGCATGAAAAGTTTGAGAACTCAAGATCGTAAGCTTCCCTCTTCCATAGACATGAAACAAATCTCAGTGAGCTTTCTCAAGCAAGAATCGAATAGGTATCAGCGATTCCAGAAATCTTAACCAAGTATTAATATTCACTAAGCGCTATTAAGAAATACAAGGCATTTTCACAGCTTGTCAAATCTAAGATCGAAGAGCAGTTCCCTAAACTCAGAAATGACTATCATGGAACATACTTTGTCGAAGTACAAGATAAATAGACTCTCCTCCAAGATGTTGAGCATGTAAGATTTGAAGATTAAAGTGTTAAAACACTCAATCAAGAATTCTTATCCTTAGATTAATCAAGACCTCTTAAGATTGGTGTCATATATCTAGGAAGACATTCACCAGGTGGTAATAATGTTATTGATGGCCTAATAAGATTTGCTGAGCAAAGAGGAAATGTTCAACTAATAGGTTTTATTCATGGCCTAACAGGTTTAATGAATGACTAAACCATTGAAATATCTGCAGAAACATTTAAACCTTTCAGAAATCTTGGTGGTTATGACTATCTTGGAAGATCTCACGATTAATTGAGAACACCTGATCAGTAATAAAGAGCTGCTGAACTTTCAAAGAAATATGATCTTTCTGGGCTAGTACTTGTTGGAGCTACTCACACTCTTACTGACGCTGGTTTCCTATCTGAATACTTCCTTGAAAATGAAGTCAGTACAAGAGTGATTGCAATTCCATCAACAGTCGATGGCAATATCAGACATTCTTATATTGCAACTTCTATCGGCTTTGATACAGCTTCAAAGGTCTACTCTCAACTCATTGGAAACATGCTTTCTGACAGTGCTTCAGCTATCAAGTATTGGTATTTCATTAGGCTAATGGGCAGAGATCCATCTCATTTAGCCCTTGAGTGTGCCATTCAAACTCATCCAAACATGGTAATTATCTCTGAGGAAAGTGCTCACAGAGGAGAAACATTGATTGATATTGTAAACAGAATTTGCGATGTAATTGTAGAAAGAGCTAAATAAAACAAAAACTATGGGTGTGTTCTTATTCCAGAGGGTCTTCTTAATCATGTTGCCGCTTACAAGCATTTGATTGATGAAATCAACAAGAACTTCGCAGTTTGCAAAACTAGACAAGAGACTAAGGAACTATCTTAGAGATTCTATGAGAATGATCAATACGTTAAAGAAAATTTAACACCATGGTCGCATTCTCTCTACACTACTTTACCTGATTTCCTTAAAAAGCAATTACTATATGAAAGAGAAATTGAAGGGCTCACAAAGATTTCTCAAATTGAAACTGAGAAACTAATGGCTTATTTTGTAGAGTAAGAGCTCTAAAAGAGAAAAAATAAAGGAGTTTACCAAGGTGGATTTGCTCCAGTAACTCATTATTTCGGATATCAAGGTAGATGCTCACACCCTACACTTTTCGATTGCTCTCTTGGTTCAACTTATGGTTTCACTGCTGGTGTACTAATTGATAATGGACTAACTGGTTTGAGCGTTACTGCCTAACAAATAACATCACCTGCTAAATATTGGAGAGTTGGAGGAGTTCCCATATTATCAATGGTAAGATCTTAGCCAAAAAGCGGTTTCTCAAGAGTTGACTTGGTAGTTCCTAGTGAAGAAGTAGACCTAAATGGAGAAACATATCAAAGAATGAAAGCTGTTGAGAGAGGCTGGAGATATATTGATCACTACAGCAATCCAGGCCCAATCTAGTTCTTTGACAATGGATGTGAGAGAAGAGATTTTACTCTTGACTCTCTATTCTAGCATAGAACTAAAATCACAGATTAGATTAAGGCACTATGCCACTCTATTCAAAATGACTGCTTGTTTGTTGAACATTAGCATCTTTTGATTGCAGCCTTGAGTTCTCTCGAGTCAGCTAAGAGTGTCATCAATTCAATGACCTAGAATGCCAGTCTTGGTGCCTAAAACTACGACTGAGTAATAGTTATTAACATTCCTTTATGACAAGATTATTATATTCGAAGAAATAATGATTAACTCTTAATTTTCATTTTCACTCTAATATAATGCATCATGGGGTTTTGGGGTTTTGGGGAGATCGGAAGAG